ATGATCCATCTAAACTTGAAATAACAATAGAATTAGTTTCAGGAAATGGTTTCATAGAGGTTATACAATCATTGAATTGTCCTACTTGTTGTAGTGAATTTTGTTGAACGTTCCACAAATATACTCCTCCATTAAGTGATCCAACTAAAAATTGTGATTCACAAAATTTACAAAATTTACATATAGAAGTTAATGGTGAGTTACAATTAACACTTCCAACAATTTGTGTTTGTGTTGGGGAATTAACTAAAAATGCTTTACATGTTTTATCCCATGATGATACTCCAACTAAAATCCCATTTTGTGAACTGTATCCCTCAATACCACTGATAGTGTCTTGGAATGTTTTTGGTTCTCCTAATGGAAAAACTGGTGAATTTGATTGTTGTTTGGACATTAATATCTTTTATTTATTTTGAAGTTCTTCTGTCCTACCTTTTCTTTAATAAATGTTATTTTACCATTAAAAACTATAAATTTATTATTGTTTTCATTGGGTTATTTTAGAAAAAAATTCACAAAAAAATTCACAATATGTTTTTTTTTATTTGATAGGTGTCTTCTCATAGAGAAAATAAATATTAAAGATTTTCATTAAATCAAATGTCATTGCCTCTAAGTTCTTTCCTTTTCATGAAAAGAAGTGATACTATACAATAAAATAATTAATTTAATTTACTAAAATAAAAATTAATTTACTTATTAAATTAAATGAAAAGTCTAATAAATATGAGTTATTATTTCTTGAGATAGAACTTTTTTATTTAACAAAGATTTTTATACTTCAAACTTAATAATTTTATTAGTATAATCGTTTCATTGTTTCAGAGAAATACTTAATAGAATGAAATGTATTTTTTTTTAAAGACGAAGTAAAGTTTTGAATAAAATGATATTCTTAATATTATTATCCAAACCTTTGTTTTTTGACAGTTTTTACAATTTATTATCATATTTGTTATGTATAATTATTTTTTTGTTGATCTTTTAGAGTAAATAACATTTTCATGACGAGACAAGTTGATACATTGTACTTTGTTTATAAATGGAATAGAATGTGGTGTTTTTATTTGAATGATTTATTTTGAAGAATTTATATCTATTTCTTATAAATCATTCATCTATTTTTTTTTTTTTCAAATTTATTTACTCTTATTCTAATACATTACATTTATTTTGTGCATCAAATATAAGAATTTGTTTAATCAGCTAATTCTTTGCTTCAGTATTATTTTGATGAACTTTTCCATTTTGTTAAAATAATATTCAATCTTTAGAAAAAGAAAATAAGATTTTGTGGAATATAAAAATAATGAAAAGACACACAAACTTATATCAATGAAGCTAAGAAAATACAAATTAATTAGTCAACCTTACAAATAATTAATACATAACCCAAAGGCAACTAGAAGAGATCAAACAAAAAAAAGAAATAAAAAAGAAAAGATAGAAGTGAATAATATATTATATTCAATATGGTACATAGCAAAAACTTTCTTTACATGTATTTTTCTGTAAGATTGTTATTGAATAGTAAGTGAATAAAAGAAAAATATTGGTGTTACAGAGAAATAGATTTAATAAAAATTAAAAATTAGATGTTGACAAAAGACAAGTGTTGGGTTGACATAAAAATAGAAAGGAATGACTGTGTTATTTATTCATAAAATGATTTGGTAATTCGACAATATAACAACAGTCATTGGAATTAGTCAAAAACCAATTCATAATTATATTTTTTTTTGGAATAAAAATCACTTAATATTATTGAGTTAAAAATAGCAAGCATATTCTCTTTTTTCTTTTTTGGAATTTCCTACTAAGACTTAATTTAGTCATAAAAAACTATTGATACTATTTGTTTCACTAATTTGTTCATTCAAAATTAAATTCATCATTAGAATAAAAATGATTAATTTTTACCATTCAGTTTGAAATGAATAACAAAAATAAATATATATAAATAACAAAAAACAAATTTTTATAATCTTTCCTTTTAACTTTCTAAATCAAATCAGACTCTCTCTATGTTTGACGGTTTTAACATTTTTTAGCATAAATAGTATATTAACAAGATAAGTATTTAATTGAAGAAAAAAACCGAATTTTTTTAGAAGAAAGTGAAAAGAAAATCGTTGTAATTAAGAAGAATAATTAAGAATGAGGGACATAACACTATTTGAAAAAAACAATTAAAGAATAAAGAAAAAACAATAGGGCTAATTGAAAGACTATGCACTTGTTGGATGGATTGATGATGAATATTCATTTACAACTGAATTTGTTCCAACAGTTGTAAACACATTATCTAAGTTACCTTCTTCATTACCTCCAAGAATAGCTTGTATCTCTAAATCACATTCTTGATTTTTGTTATCTTCTTCAGCCCAGTCTTTAGTTAATATTTCATTTACTCGTTTGTGTTCTACAACAACTATTGATTTTGACTTACCATATTTTTTAATACTAGCTTGGTATGTTACCTGATTCTGCATAGTAAAGAGATACTGATATTTGTAGTTTTGTTGATTCCAATTAAAGAATTATGGTATTTAAAATGGCATTAGATTTTAATTGATATTTATAGATCATCTTTTGTTCCAAAAATATCTTTCTTTTCTAGAAATTCAACTAAATACCTGTTTTTAGATGTAGTGTAGTTCTATAAATTACACTGATTTTCTACCTTATCTTTTTTGTAAATTTTTTTGGTTTCCATTTTACTTGAAGTAAAAGATGTTCTGAGAAACGAAATTATCTCTGAGACTTTTGATTGAATAGTCAAATTTTGCTTTACTATTTTTCCTTTTTTGATATTCGTTTTTTAGAGTTTATATTAAAATATGTTATAAATAACATAAAAATATTCCTGAAAAAATTGTCTATCTAACGTTTAATTTAAATAAGAAAGATATAAAGAGTTAATTGTTAAAATTAAAAAAATTAAAAGTGAAGATGTTGAACTAAAGAATAATATGTTATACGTTAAAAAGAAAACAAAAATTATCTTTTTTTTTGTTTTCATGTCACATAATATTTTTTAAATTTTTATTGATTAAGTTACTTAGTCGTATAAACGCTATAGTCAAAAGAAGCGTTTGATTCTTTTTTACTAAAAACTTAATTCTAAACAAATAACACAAACGGTGATATTATTAGTAGAAAATTTATATAATTTTTTACGTCTCTTAAAAATAAAATAATTCTTGAATAAAAACAGGAAAAACGAAAGTGAAACTCCATCTATAAGACGAAAGTAAAAAAATGATAACTTGAGTTTTTTATTTTTAGAATGTCTTTTAATATTTAATTTTTTGTCAAATATCTATTTACAAAAGATTGACTTTTCTTTTTTTTTGTATTTATCCTTTTTGAATAAGTCTTTGCTAAAATTATTTCAATTGATAGTTATGAAAGAAGGATAGAGAATAGTTTAACAAAATAATGAAAATATTTTTTAATTTTTATCTTTAATAAAGTTCTAGTAATAACAATTAAGTACTAATAATTACTAATTGATTTAAAGTCAATAAACTTATTTGATTCTTTTTATCCTTTTCTTTTTTTTATCTCTCTCAATCTTTTTATTCTGAGAATTATTTTATTGATTGTTATTATGAAGTAATAGTTTCATTGCTCACAAAAAAGCAAACATTATAAACTCAAAGTATGAATCAATTTTATATTTCTAATGCAAGATTATTTCTTCTCAAAAATTGTTGTTAAAATGAATGACATACAATCATATTCTATAAACTTTAAATATATTAACATGGCTCTATGAATTTGTGAAGTATTGAAAGAATGACAGAACAGTTATTATTCTTTTTGTTCTAATAAATTAGTGTAGAGTTATTGATTTGTATGATAGATAAATAAAATTATATCTCACTAATCAAATCATGTCATTATTAAATTTATAAGTGAAAGGGAATATCCTTTTGTTAAAGAATGATATGAAGTGTTAAATCTCATTTCTTTTGTTATTATTTAATAATAAGAGTTTAGTTTTCATATACTAAATATCAAAATGAGGAAAATCATAAAAAAAGAAAGAACTTAAAAATAGTTAATATGAAAAGAAAAGATAAAGAAGAAATAATATATTCAGAGGATGAGATTAGTGAAAGATTAGCTATTTTAGAAGAAATTAAAAAGAAGGTTGAAACGTTTGATGAAAAAAAATTACAATTTGGAACTAATCCAATTACAGAATTATCACCTGATGAAAAATCAAAACCTTTTTATGCATTAATTGGAGCGTTATTATCAACAAAAACTTGTGAGACATTGAGATTAAAAGTTATGAATAATCTTATTGAACATTATAAAAAATTAACACCTGAGATTATGTCAAAAGCATCCGAAGATATATTAAATGAGTTATTAGATGGATGTTATGGAAAAGTCAGAAAAATAAAGTTTATTCTTGAATGTTCAAAAGTAATTCATAATAACTATAATGATATTGTTCCAGACAATATAGATGAGTTAAAAAAGTTACCTGGTATTGGTCCTAAGTTAGCTAAAATTATTTGTGCAATTGGATTTAAAAAAATAGAAGGTATTACTGTTGACCAACGTTCATTACTTCTTTTACATCGTCTTGAATGGATTTTAAAAGATACTTCTAATGACAATGATGCAATGAAAGAAGTTGAAGAATGGTTACCAAAAGAGCATTGGAATTATTTTTCTAAAGACACAATTTTATTTGCTAAATATCTTTGTAAACCAAACCCTTTATGTGACCAATGTCCTTTAGCAAAACATTATGTATGCAAATATTATTGTAAAAAACATAATCATCATATTCAACATCTAACTCAACCATATAATTTAAATTTACAACAAGGAAAGAAAAAGAAAATAGATGTTGAAGTTTTAGATAATATGATTATATCAGAAGATGATGAAGAACATGAATTTTTATCAAATCTTGATCTTATTCAATTAAGTCAAGAACATCAAGAAATTAAAGATGTTTAAAATTAATTTAATTAATCAATCAAATCACTTTCGTTTATTCTTGAAGCTTTAAATTCTTCATCAGTAATTCCAGGTGGTGGTTTGCAATAAACTAATTTTCCACAACAATAATCTTTTAATACAATTCTTGCTACACGATGATAATCTAATAACCCACGAGTATTAGTATAATATTTTCTACTTTTAGCAAATCCAGCTAGGAATAATTCTGCTTCTGATGGAGTTCTTGACTCAAAACAATCAATAAAGTCATGAAGAAAATCGGTTGCTTTTGGAATTTTAAATTTATAAAATGCTTCAAGAATTGATGGTGAAATTCTTCTTGTTACTAAATCAATTGGACCAAGACAATCTTGCATTCTATCAATAGGTAAAACACCACTACAAATCATTTCTTCTTTAGAAGACAAGAAAGATGGAAAAACAAGACCTGGACAATCACATAACATTAATTCATCGTTCAATATTAATGTTTGGAAATGTTTAGTTTTACCAGGAGTACTTGTAACTCCAACTTTCTTAATTCCAATTAATGAGTTAATAGTTGATGATTTTCCTACATTTGGAAATCCACAAAAACCAATAACTTTTCTTTGTTTATTATCTCTTAAAGGAATATCACTTACTAATCTTGTTAATTCTTCCATTAATTCATTTGCACTTAATACATGATTTCCTAAATGTTTATTATCAGATTGAACTATATTTTTATCATCTGTGAAAGGAACTTGTTGTTCTTTAACTTGTTCTTTAATTTCTTTTTGTTTTTCTATAGTTTTACTACTATCTTTTTCTTCATTTATTTCATGTTTATCAATTTCTTTTTCTTCTTTTTGAGTTTGGTCTAAATCAAAAGCTTCTTGTTGTCCTCTTCTCTTTCTGGTTTTTCTAACTTTTTCTTCTTTATTTATAGCAGCTTCAGCTAATTTATTTTCTTTTAAAGCTGAATAAAAAATAACACGAATTCCCCTTTCATTAAAATATTTCAACCACATTGCTCTTTGTTCATCAGTCATTAAATCTGCTTTATTAATTAAAATACCACATTTTCTTCCTTCTAATTCTTCAACATATTTAACTAAATCTGTACTATAATAAAACAATGGATCTCTACCATCAACAATTTGTAATATAACATCAGACTGTTCACAAGTTCTCCATAACTGTCTCCAGAATTGAATATTTTTTTCATAAGGTGTTAATAATAATTTACTTTCATTTTGTAATTCATATAATTGTTTCTTCCATTCCATAAATGATTTTTGTTCAATTCTATCTAATTCTTCTGCTGTCATATCAGGTGTCCAAGCTGGTCTTCTTGGAACAATTAATGCATATTTCTTTCTGATTTCTTCTAATTCTTCATTACTCATTTCTGTAACAGTTGTTATTGCTTTCTTATTATATACAACATTATATTGTTTCTCTACTGCAAATGCTTCATTGACAGCTGCTGCATTATCAACTAATTCTTGTAAGTCACTTGCTTCAGTAACTGACTGTGAACCAGCTTTCCCATCAACATGAATTCCTTCCATCTGTTTTCTACTTTCAAGATCTTGTTTTCTACGTTGTTGACGTTCTCTAATATTTGCACGTTTTAAAGCTTTTCCAAGTTGTTGTTTCTTTGGTGGCATTTTTCAATTGAATTTGTTTTATTTTTCTTTTTAGGTTTTTAATTTTTTTTAATTTTTTTTTAATTTTTTTTAATTTTTTTTAATTTTTTTTAATTTTTTTTTACCAAATTTTTATTTTTTAAATTTCATATTTCAAAGAAAAATTACAAATTTTTTTTTTTGCAATAAAATTTTGTATATTTTTACTTCACTAAAACTTATGGGATTTTACTTACTTTTTAAAGGAAATAATCAGTGACAATCTCCAACTTGAATGTTTTATAAATAATTCAATTACTACTCCCTTAGTGAAAATTTCTCAAAATGGTTGTTAAAATAAAATATAAGTAAAATTACAAAGAGTTAGAACCACCTCACTAGATTCATAATTTTAAAAAAGAGAAACAATTCATAATCAACAAGAAATATTCTATAAATCAATATTTCTTAACATTTTTTATTTGAAACTATTAAGTAATAATAAAATAAATATAATACTTCTATTCTACTTCTTGAAACTGTTAAGAACTTAAACTTGGAAACTAAGACCCATTTTATCCTCAATGACTCTTTATACACTGTTCTTATTTATTTATTTTTGTTATTCATTTGAATGTTCTCCAGGTTGTATTGGGGGTTGTGAAGCTGATAATACTTGTAGAGGAGGATGCTCAGAAAATTATTTTAACGACACATCATGTTTATATTGTAAATGGACTGATGTTACTGATGATATTAATGAAGCATTTATTCCAAATGGTACTTCTTGTATGAAGACAACAAACATTATCGTTAAATCAACTTGGCTTCCTGAACAAAAAGACATAGAAAATATTACAACAGAAAAAATTGTCACTTTTACTATTAATGAGAATTCTAATGCTGATTCTAGTTTTTGTTATTATAGACAAAAATATAGACTTGGCAAATGGTTTAGGTTAGATATGAAGGATATTCATACTGACGCATTATCTATTTCTATTACTAAAAATCCTGAGTCAAGTGCTTTTCTTTCTATTGATGTAACTAATTCTCAGCGTGATGCTTACACTGGAAATTGCCTTGCACATTCTTCGTTAAATGAAACAAGGTTTGAAGCAAGTATGTTAGTTCCAGTTTTAAATCCAATTTATTCTGCTGATTCAAAGAGAGATGAGAACTTTTATTATATATTTGTTAATGTTAAAGAATTTAAAGTTGTTACTGTTTCATTAACAATTAAAACAATTAATGGAAAGACAGGTGTTTCTAAGTTTAATTTAACTCAAGAAGTAGCTGATTCATTGGCAAAAGATTTGTCTAAGAAGATGTACGTTCATTTTTCATTAGAACAAGATGGTATTATTTGTTATCCAGTGTGTATTCCAAATATTATAATGAAAGTTATCCTTTTTGAAGTTGAATTTGATGGAGATTATTCTATTCTTATAGATACTAGAGGAGCTGATCGTGTTAATTATGTTCAAGAGTTTGAATATGTAGTTAATGGGTCAGGGTATAAGTCTAGTAAATGCCTTAATATTTGGAGTGGAAAACCTCATGGAGTATTTGCTGATGAAGAACCAAATGGAGTTTCTGTACGTATTGAAGGTAAAGCTAATACAAAAAGATATTTTGGTCTTATGTCTGAAGAACAACGAGCTAATTTAAATGCAGAAGTTAGAGCTATTTGTCCAAAAAATTGTAATTCTGCCAGTGGAAATGGAAATTGTCTTCCACAAGAAAAGAAGTGTTTATGTGAGAATAGTTTTGGAGGAGATGATTGTCATAAATTATGTTATTATAATGGGAACTGGCAAGTTAATGACTATAGTTCACTTTGCTATTTTAATACTTCTCATTGTGACCAGTTCTGTAAATGTGAACCAGGATATACTTTAGTTAATAATTATTGTGTAAGTAATGAATGTAAAAATGGAAACCTTGGTAGTGGTGATGAATGTATTCAGAATAGTGAAGGATGTTTAACAAATTGTATGTGTGATAGTAGTAGTGGATGGAAAATGAGTAAAAAAAAAAGGAAATGTGTAAATGTACTTTGTGGAAATGGAATTATTGATGATCTCTATATGAAAGGTAAATTTTTAAGAAAAGAAGATTGTGATAATGGAACTAATTGTAATTCATTTTGTCAATGTTTGGATGGACATATTCCTGATCCAAATGACCCAATGTCATGTATAAATAATAATATTTCTGGAGGTGCTATTGCTGGAATTGTTATAGGAGGAACAGTTGGATTGATATTAATTCTTATCTTCTTTATTGTATTATTAATCTTTGTCCTTAGATATAAAAAAGTTGATATCAATATTTATAAAATACAACAACCAACTTATTATTATTATATCCGTGGATCAACTAATGCTCCACCATCAAAGACTGCTCGTTATATGATAGATCCTATTGATTTAGATTATGGAAATGATACAACTGCAACTGCTATTATGGACACTCGATTTGAAAGAATGGAAGTTAATAATTATTCTAGAAATAAATGGTTGATGATTATTTTCCATACACCAAATAATCCAAAATATGTTTTTTATTTTGAACCTCAAGTATTATTTATAAGACCACATTCTACACCAAAATTACTTACAAGTTATATGACACTCCATTGTACTACAAAAATTAGAGATATGAAAATTCCTTATACTATTTGGTTTAGTAAATCAAAATCAACATTAGAATCTATTGCTAGTCTTTTAAAAGATAAGAGCTTTGAAACATGGACTCCAGAAGACCAAGTTCAAATGGATAAACTTTGTAAAAATGTTAGAAGACATTGTCATTATCATATTACTATTAAAACTGATGCTGCATCATCTACTCATATTGATATGGATGAATTAAATATGTCAGAAAAACCAATTGCAGAAGGAGCAATGGGTAAAGTGTATATTGGAAGTTATCGTAGTGTCCCAGTTGCAGTAAAACAATTTAGATGGGAAAGTCTTAGTGATGAAGAAATGACTGAATTAAAACAAGAGGTTATAGCTGAATGTGAAATAATGAGTAAATTAAGAAATCCATTTATTGCAAATTATATGGGATCAGTTACATATATTCCACAAGTATCTATGATTATTCAATTCTTTGTTTTAGGATCATTAGGAGAATATTTAAGAAAAGACAAAGAAGATTATGTCAAATTACCATATAAATTAAAAGTTAGAATGTTATTTGATACTGCAAGAGGAATGCAATTTTTACATGAAAATAGAATTATGCATTTAGATCTTAAACCTGATAATCTTTTAGTTAATTCTTTATATACTGATTCTGCTTGTTGTATTAAAATTACAGACTTTGGTACTTCTAGATTTACTAAGAAAAATAATAAAAACTCAGAAGATAAAGGTCTTGGTACTCCAATTTATGCTGCACCAGAAACTTATCATGATGAATATACTAATGCAGGTGATGTTTATTCTTATGCCATCAGTGCTTGGGAATTGTTTTATCAAGAAGAACCTTATAAAGAATTTAAATCTTTGTTCGAAATTAAAGACTACGTTGAAAGTGGTAAAAGACTTGGTTTTGATACATCTATTCCAATGTTATTGAAAGGACTTATTCAAGACTGTTGGAAACAAAACATTGGTGAACGACCTTCATTTGAACAAATTTGTAAAAGATTGGTTAAATTAGATGAAGACGCTATTAATCATCTTGAACTTGATAATGATGTTTCTGATGGAAGAATTGAAGAAATTATTAATAATAGAACTCAAAGAATGCAAGACCAATTGAATGAAATTAGTCATGACTAAGCAATTAAAAATATTTGAGCTTTATTCATAAATCTTTTTTAATTATTTTTGTTATTTCTTTTTAATAATAAAAAAAAAATAAAAAAGAGTAATAAAAAAACAAGATACTTCTTATCAAATAATATGATTGATAATTTAATACTAAAAGGAAAAGAAATGAAGGAGAAAGGAGAAATGATAAAGAAATAAGAGAAAGATGAAGAAAGGAAGAAATAAGTCAATTCAAACATTAAATAACAATAAAATGAAAATAAGAAAAATAATACACAACAAGAATAACAACAATTCCAAATAATAAAACAACAGTATAATGAAGAAAATTATATTGAAAGAAATAGAGAAAGAAAAAGTATTGATAAAAAAAAACAACATTGAATATAAAAATTCCAACAATGAAAAATAAAGCAATAAGAAATAAAAATAAAACAAAATTATTTAAAAAAAATTGGATTTTCATGTTATTTTGGAATAAATTCTTCCCAATCGAAATTCCAAACCTTTAAAACTCCTTTGTCTGGAACAAACCATCCTTGTTTTTCATAAACTTCTAAATCAAGATATGGTTGGTTGTCATGAGTTGGTCCAGCTTGGACATGGAATTGAAGAGTTTCAAATCCACTTTTATCACAAATCTTTGCGTCCATTTGACCAAATGGTAATGGTTTTAATTCACTTGGTCTTAAATCATAACGAGCAGCAATTGTAGCTCCTGGGTCTTGGAGTTCAGTAGTTGGGTCTTTTGATAATGGTTCATTTTTGTAGTCATTATATTTCATCATTTTTTTCATATCATTCATATTCATTACTTTTGGTGCATATTTTTCAAAGATTTTTGCTCTACAACATTCTGTTGGAGAGTTCCAGAATGCTTTGTTACCTTGGGCATTAGCAGTAGTATTACTCATATCAATAGTTTTTTGAATTTCAGGTACATTAAATGAACCGAAATAACCAGTAGATTCTAATGAAGTAGAGAAGTCTTTATAGAATACGTAACCAGGGATTTGTTCACTAACAGTTAAAGTTCCTTCTGGAATACCAGATTCAACACTATTAAACAATTTATAATCAACAACAATCCATTGGTTATTATATGTTCCTGAATTTTGTTTTTCAAAAATATCATGGAATTCTTTACCATTCTTAGAGGCTCTAACTGCAAGAACAATTCTAATCCAATCAAGAAGTGTATTTGAATGAATATATTGATTTAATGTAGTATTGAAATTAGTGAAAGTAGTTTCA